ATCCTCTGTCCCCACCCTCCCCCCCCCAAGAAAAAAGATTGCCAAGACAAATAATTGTTGTGGCATGTGCAAACATTTTCTTGGGAGCCTTTTTAACATATGCAGCTTTCAGAAGATTACAGTACGTGCTTTTCAGGAATGCTACATCATAGTGTCTTTGCTTCATGACTCGAGAGCAGGTCTGTATTAAAATCAACCAGTAGTATTTCTTTAGTGTAGCTCTTTTGCCATGTATCAAAAGCAGCAAATATGATCAGTGACCAAATTGCTTATTTGAGATCACTAGGAAAACTTAACTTACTAGTTCTCTGTAGATAATTCTCAGGAAGCATCTGGGAAATAGAACCTGCCTGTGAGAGGGTTTTGTCCCCTGCTCGCCTCTAGACACCACGGCATATAGGACACAGATACGCAGCTCTCCATCCACACTGTGCATTTCCAAGCTCATACTTGCTGATGTCACATTTTTAAGTGGTCCTTATTTTGGTGACTGCTGATTGTGCATAGCATACTTTTTCCAAACTCTGTTTTCCTTAGCATCCTGATACTTGAAAACAAATAACACAGAAATGATTCCATACAGTATTTCAGACCACTCTTCCAAGCATGAGAATCTGGCACATTCTTCTGTTTTCTTCACATTATTTGCCTCCATATTTCCTTTGCATTTGGAAGCCACAGTCCCTGGACCTTTATTACTGCATCCTGTTTCCTTTCCTCATTGCAGTTCTCTTTGTTACTATTTTTTTTTTCAATTTGCCACATAAAATACGAAATTAAGCTGAGCTAACCTATGTAGACATTTGCGATGGTCATATCTTTGTCGGATATGACATTTATTCCTAGCATTAAAATGTTTGCTGATGTAAAGAAAAGAAGGAACCATGATAGGGAGGTATAAGAACATTTTTAGTTATCTAATTTTATTTTTTGTGTCTACCTGTCTCCACCAAATGATGGCCTTTACTTGGTCACCACTGGCTCTGAATCCTGCTCTGACAGTTTCTCCTCACCTTTGTTAATTCATTCGTGTGCAGCAGGTACGTGACAGGTAATGGACATGTGAAGATGAGTAAGACATGGTCCGTGCCCTCCAGGTGGGGGGTGACATTCCAGTCCCGTTAGGACACTGCCTGCAGAGATAGACATAGGCCCCGTGAAGGAGCAGGCCAGAGGGCTGGAAGCGGGCAGCCCCCTCTCCCTGAGAGGATCGGGGCAAGCTTCTGGAAGACCTGAGCTGAGGTTGGGCAACGAGTTGAAGAGGAGAGCGGGGAGAGAGGAGCGTTCCAGATGTTCCCATCAGGAGGAGGGGCAGAGATGACAAACATCAGATGTGCGGGCTCTACGGGAAGCGTGATGTTAGGCTATGAGCACAAAATTGCAGGCAGAGTGAAGACGGAAGGGGGTGTGTGCCTGCGGTTGGTTACGTCGGGTGGCCTCGGGCTTTGTGATAAGAAACTTGGGTGTCTTTCCTTTAGGCCACAGAGAGCTGGTGCGGGTGGGATGAGCATGGCGACTGCATCGTGAAGTTTAAGGAAGAGATGGTTTTGGAAGGGAACTTAAGCTTGCAGCTTCTTAGGGGGATCAAATTATTATCAGTGAACCGTGCTGTTAGATTTGTGACCAAGTGTTTTAAAAACTTTGCAATCCTGCTGTTCACTTTTTTTCTTTAATGTTTATTTATTTTTGAGAGAGAGAAAGAGAGAGCGCAGAAGGGGAGGAGCAGAGAGAGGGAGACACAGAACCTGAACCCACTGCTCCCTTTCACTTGTTTTAGAGACGTACACAGTCATCCGTGCCCACCGTGTGTCCTGCAGTGTCCGTCTGTCAGACAGACGTGGCCCGTGTCCTCACGGAGCGTAGTCTAATAGGGGAGCTACGAGTGGAAATGGGCACCCAGCTGGAAAGACTTAAGAGCCCACTGGCTCAAATACTGCACGCGCGAATCTACCTCCAACTATAGGGCAACATTAAGCAGTTTTTCAAATACCACAGCATTGAAACAAAGATGCACACACACAGCTTTGTCGCTTGCTCCTCAGAACTGATCGCACCAGAGAGCCGGTCATGTTGGTTGAGGTAACGGACTTCTTCAGTCATCGTGGATCATTTCTCTTCATCTTGACACGCGGATTTCTGCTCTTGCTCTCTCCTTTACCTGTGAAGCCCTTCACTCCCCGCTCCCTCTCCTTCCCCCACCCCCAGCTCCCTATTTCTCTGCCTGGAGAAACCCTGTTGTCCCTCAAAGCCTGATTCCGTGAGCACCACTCTGCAGATCCGCCGTGCAACATCCCTCCCTCCCCATGCACCGTGTCCACCTTCTCTCCATCCCATAGCGGGGAAATCTCTCCACCCAGGTCCCTGGAGGGCTGGACCCCATTCCTGGGCCACCACCCTGAGCACAGTGCTTGCACATAGCAGGAATTCGACAAAAGCTTAAGAATCGAATATGATTTCTAGCAAGAGGGAGAATTGGTCTCTTGGTAATAACGATGCAGACCATTTTGGGGAGCTCCCACAGTGCCCCCGGAAAGCAGTCACTGAGTACTTTACCTTGCTATCTCGCTTAATTCCCCCAACAGGTCAGATGAAGACATTGAGACCCAAATAGGTTAAATAACTGACCAGCCTTCATTCTTTGATTGTCACGTTAATGGACAGCTCATATACACAGCTGGGAGGGAGTCTGGATCTGATCTGTCTGACACCAAGCCGTAGTATGGTCTCCTCTCCCCTGCCGGGAGCCCAGTCTGTCATGACCTTTGACAAAATCAACTAAACATCCCTCTTCTGGAGTCCACTACGTCACCTCCATGCTGCCATCACCAATGGTTCCGCCCGGGATCCCGCTGAGATCGGGATCGTCACCGCCCATGATCTTGCCTGGTTATCACCACCACCCATCCGATCAGTAGAACTGTCCAAACAGCGGGTAAAAAGAAATGCCTCTTTACTGCTTTCACTTCTTCTACAACATCATTTATTCAAGGAAAATAAAGGAAAAAACGACTTTATGGCTAAATTCATTCCAAGTTGAATATTCTTAAAGAAATTGTTTTCAATTTGTCAAAAGCATATTAACAGTCATAAAATTTTTTATATCCACTGGCACCCTGCTCTCACCCTTGGGAATTTGTTCCAAGAATATAATGTGAAAGAGGTTAAATCTCACATGCACAGATATTTTCCAGCATCGTTTATGTTGGAAACAACCCAAATGCCTAATAACAGGGAACAGTTTTGTAAATCTTCATACATCAAGCTAACAAAATTAGAGGCTGCCACACATGTTCAGAAACTCTGAAAGTCTATGGTACCGCGAGAAAAGCCTAAAAGTTTTAAAGGAGCAAACGACAAAATCCTACCTATTCTATCAAAATCATGCAGGAATATGAAGGACTTAAAGGAAACAAGAAAGAATTAGAATATGGGTTGATGTATTTAGAATTTGAAATTGTAGGTGATGCTTCAGGATTTTATTTCCTTCATTCTTGTTAAAATGTGTGCCTTTAGTGAATGCTCAATACAAATATCTTCATTCGTGCACACTTTAAATGGTTTGATTTTATCTTAGTTTTTTTTACTGCCAATTCCTATCTCTGCCATAAATTATGGCCTTGCTTGTACTGTCAATATGTAGTGCGTGTTTCATAAATGTTTCCTTCCTCTCACACTGGTGTTATTCTTTTCCTAGTGTGGCTTCTCACATGTTAACAGGCATTCATGTCACCTGGGGATCTTGTTAAAATGCTGATTGTGACTCACTGGGTGTGGGGTCCCTGGATTCTGTGTGTCTGATAAGCCCCTGGTGGTGCCAGTGGCCGTGCCCATCCTAGAGCTGCCCTTTGCGTGTGGAAGTGACGTTGTGTGCTGCTGACCTCACGTCCGTCACTAGTATTATCTGGGAAGGCAGTGATAGGTTTACTCTCAGCTTCCTCCTCCGTAACTTTTCTAGCAATTCGGGGGCAGAGGAGGGGATGACTAAAGATGAGTGTCCTCCGTGGTTAGGGTCTAAAGATGCTATTTTATCAAGCCTGGTGATTCATCTTCTTAACCCACTCTGCTAACTAGAATTTCATCAAGTGACACAGATGACACAGCAAACATGAAACAATGGTGGCACTAAATAAGGGATTCCATGCATGTTACAAAAAGTAAGAAAAGGGGACGCCTGGCTGGCTCAGTTGGTTAAAACATCCACTTTGGGATCAGGTCATGATCTCACGGTTTATGGGTTCGAGCCCCACGTCGGGCTCTGTGCTCACAGCTCAGGGCCTGGAGCCTGCTTTGGATTCTGCTCTTTCCCTCTCTCTGCCCCTCCCATGCTTGTGCTCTGTCTCTCTCTTTCAAAAATAAACATTACAGGGGTGCCTGGGTGGCTAAGTCGGTTGAGCATCCGGCTTCCACTCAGGTCATGATCTCAAGGTTCATGGGTTCGAGCCCCGTGTCGAGCTCTGTGCTGACGGCTAGCTCAGAGCCTGGAGCTTGTCCTTGGATTCTGTGTCTCCTTCTCTCTCTGACCCTCCCCTGCTCATGCTGTCTCTATCTCAAAAATAAATAAAACTTAAAAAAAAAAAATAAACATTACAAAAATATTTTTAAAAGAAAGAAAGGACCCTCTAATGCTAATCATGCTAGCAATGTCCTTTGCTACAATTTGGAACCCGATTAAAAAGCTGACAGTCCCATCTGTGGTTAAGAAATGCTTTGCTTTGAGTGTGCATACCAGAAGATTTCGACCATGGCAATGAATCCTTACGGCACCGCAGTCTAAAGCCGAATAGAGAGCCATCTTTTTAGAGAACGTAGGGGAGCGGAACACTTTCTGTGACCTTGGGAATATCAGTCTACCTCGGCTTGTGAACAAGGAACAATGGCACTGGGCGTGGTGGGGAGTTTAAAGGGTCCTTGGAACCTGAGTCGTGCCCAACATGGCTAAAACTAAAATCTGCTCTTGTTTTGAGACAATGATAGCAAATCTCCACCTTGATTCTCCACAGTGACTGAAGCCGGCTTTGGTGCTGATATTGGAATGGAGAAGTTTTTCAACATCAAATGTCGAGCATCCGGCTTGGTGCCCAACGTGGTGGTGCTGGTGGCAACCGTGCGGGCTCTGAAGATGCACGGAGGCGGGCCGAGCGTAAGTCCCAAACTGCCGTCCTAGTAAAACACATTCCAGAATTAAGGTGAAGCCGACTTTTCGCATCGGAAACCTTCAAACCTGATTCATAACTGCAGTTTTCTTAAATGACAAATCCCCATTATGGGGCACTGATCCTTTCGTAAGTTCGAGTAAAGGATGATACTCACAAAGTCATTTCTAAGCAGTATTTTGGAAAGGAGCCTAATGTAACCACTTTTTAGTCCTAAGATTTATATCTGAAACTCAGGTCAACATTTTATAACCCCACGGAGTAATGAGACTATAGAGGCTCGTTTTCCTGAGCAGAGGACATACAGATGAGGGTTGATCGCTTTTGTGGGTGGTTTTTCAGTGTTTGTACAGATAGTTTTTTGGCTCACTGGTGCAGTGTCCCTTCAGATTTCATCTAGAACTATTTTCCTTCCATATCTGTTTTCTTCTGATTTCATTTCACAGCTCTGTTATAGCACTGGATTATTTCTACAAGAGCTTTGTTTGGAAAACACACCTTATTTTCATGTTTTTACAGACTTTTGATATTAACCTGTCTTATATGCATCATTCGCATACATCAAAAGAAAATTTTTCCTCTCCATAGCAAAGGCACAGTGTTTTTCATTTTTAAGGTTTTTTTTCAAAAGGAGAATACAAAATGTTATGTTGAGTAATTATCTTTGTAATAAAATAAGTCGGGGAGTTTTTATCATTTATACTATGGTTATATGAGACAGTGTACCAAATCAGATTTCTTAACTGGTAATCCAATCCTGTGTATATAGAAGTCACCTAATCAATGATTATTATGTAGCAAGAACAAATAACAGGTGTCCCATCATGAAACACATCTGTGATGTGCATTGTACAATCATTTTAGCAATTCTTCGTCTCAGGAGAAGTTGACATTATCTTATCCCATTTTATAGATGAGGAATTTGAGGTTCAGCCGGTTCACAGAATGTGGGTGGTGTGACCAGGCCTGCAGAGAGCCAGATCTTAAGCCTGAGACTTAGATCCAAATTCCCTTCTCTGTCCACCAGGCAGAGCTGAACATGAATGAAGGGTAAACATGAATACCAAAGCCACTGGTAATACCAGACATTTAAGTAGTTCATTTTGGCAAAAATCTTCACCATTAATTCAAATGCGAGATTGGCACAACATATGGCAGTAAGCCGTAGATCCTAAAGAATTCTTATTTTGTTCAGAACACCATTTGTCGCTACACTGACTTCTTCACTTTTGATTTTGAATCTGTATACCAATTTCCATTTTCAAAAAACAGTTTCTACCTCCCATAAGATGCATTTTAAATTCTCTGTCCCTGTTTTGCACTCTGGACAGTATAAAATCAAAGGGCTTTAGTACTCAAAGGGCTTCAAGTTTGTCTAAATCTGGTTCAGTGTTTGTAAAGATGAAGTTACTGAGGTAACAGAAGGATTCAGTGATCTGCTTCCTATCATCCTTCTGTTTGGGAGGCTAATCAGACTCAAGGTCTCCTGAGTTTTAGTCAGGTGTTTTTCCACACTCTCGTATCTGTCCTGTAAAAACTGTGTATGCGATTTATAATCTTGTTTTAGTTCATCTTAATGTATGTGTTTCTTTTACAGTGGTTGTATTGTCCTCTAACCTTAATCTTTTTGTGCCTCTTCTGCTTCTCATCATGGCTTCATGCCAGTGACCGAACCAGGCTTCAGGCTTAGTAGGCACAGATCCGAGTGGATGATAATAAAAGGAAAGGCTGGGGAAGCCTGGTGAAGCTTCATATCCCCCTCCTCGGCTCCAGAGGAGCCTTCTGTCTCATATTGTTTTATGAATGTCTATACATGCACCCCCACTTCTCAACTCTGAATTCCTTGAGATTAAGGACTATGTCTTACTAATTTGTGTATCCCTGATGCCTGGCATAGTCCATATCCAGGAAATGTTTTTAACAACTGAATAATATATGAACTTTCATCTTAATCCTATATTCTGTATTATCCATCTCAGTGTCTTTCCTTCCTACTTGAAACAACTCTGTGGTCATGTTTTTTAGCCATTATAATTTCTACTTCCTTTGGGTAGCATTATACAAATAACCATGGTGGCCTCTTATGTTTATTCAGCTTGTTTTTTTCCCATAATTTGTGCAGTGGAAAATCCTGTGACCCTCGAACTTGCCCATTTTAGCCCCAATTATTTCAAATTCATATCCTGTCTTCCAAAGTGCTGACCATTCACGGTACAATTCACGAACTAATATCTTTATACTTATGGATCTAGATATCCCTTTGCAATTAATTCTTTAAACACACTGTATTAAGAAGTAACACGATGTGGGGGCGCCTGGGTGGCTTAGTCGGTTAAGCGTCCGACTTTTGCTTAGGTCATGATCTCGCGGTTCGTGGGTTCGAGCCCCGCGTCGGGCTCTGTGCTGACTGCCAGCTCAGAGCCTGGAGCCTGTTTCAGTCTGTGACTCTCTCTCTCTCTGACCCTCCTCTGCTCATGCTTTCTCTTCTCTCTCTCTCCTAGAAATAAATCAAACATTAAAAAAAAAAAAAAAAGAAGTAACACGATGTGTATTTATTATTGGGAACTGGCTCACACAGGTATGGAGGCTGACAGGTCCAGAATCTACAGGGTGGTTACACAGGCTGCAGATTCAGGAGGGCTAATGAGCCAGGTCCAGACCTCTTCTGAAGGCAGTATGCTGGAGAATATTTCTTGCACAGAATCTTTCTGTTCTATTAGGGCCTTCAGCTGATTAGGTACAGCCCACGCACATGGCACAGCGCCTTGGGAGCTTGGGGATCTGCTTTACTTAGAGTCCAAAACAGCCCACAGGAATACTTCGACCAAATTTCTGAGCGCCCTGTGGCACAAGCTGACACCTGAAATTAACCAACTCGCCCATTGCTGCTGATTTTCATCTACGGTGCAATCACTAGGTCTAATTTTCCTTTTTTTTTTTTTTAATATATAAATAGCCAATTAGCCTAGTACTGTTCATTTAAATAGTCCCTCCTTTCTTATCTTCAAGCCTACTTTGTGATAAATTGGTTCTCCATACGTGTGTGGGACGTCCTTTCAGTTCTCCTGGCCTGTTTACTTATAATTGGGGCCATGCTGCACAGATAACCATCATGGCAAACTCCTCCAGGCTGTTCTATGTCTTCATGCATGGGATCAGCCCTTTTCGCTTCCAGATGTATTTTAGAATTAGTTCATAAAGTTGCATCAAGAATCTTTTTAGGATTTTCATTGGAATAGCATCTATCAGTAGATCAACTTAGGGATTCCTGACAAGTTCCCATCTAAGCTACCTCTGTTGACTTAGGTCTTTTTAAGTGTCTTTTAATAACAGTTTACAGTTTATTCCACAAAGGGCTTCTTTCTTTCTTTCTTTTCCTGAATTTGTTACTGTGCACTTTACATTTTTGTATAGTTTAACAGATCCCTTCTGGATTCTTTATACTGCTTAATGTCCAAGCGACGCTTCGAAATCCTCTTTTTTTTTAAAATGAAGGTATAATTGACCTAGAACCTTATATTCATTTGAGGTGTAAAACAGAATGATTGGACGTCACAAAGGATCCCAAGTCTAGTGAACCCCTGGCGCCGTGCAGTTACAAAAAGTTTCTTGCAAAGAGGGCTTTTATGATCTACTTCCAGCAACTTCCAAGTATGCAATACAATATTCTTAACTCAGTCACCTTGCTGTGCACCCATCCCTGTGACCCTAAAATTGTGTTGTCACTTGGACTCATTTATCTGTAGATACTTTAGAGTTCCGTGTGTACCCAGGCATGACTGAAAATAATGACAGTTCTGTTTCTTTCTCATCTTTATACTTTGTTTCTAATCACACTAAGCAGTTCTTTGTAGTTGCAATGCAGTATTAAGTAGGAGTGGTGTCCTTTTCTGATTCCTCATCTGAAATAGAATATATTTAAAACTTCATCATGAAGTGCAATTTTTCTATAGGCAGATAGTATATGATTTTTATCAAATTAAGGAAATTGGCTTCTACTCTTAGTTTGCCAAGTTTTTATTCTAAATAAATGTTCAATAATTCTCTTCATCTATTGATAAGATATGGCCTTCCTCTTTAATCTATTAATGTTACAAATTATACTACTTAATGTTCAAATATGAAGTGAACCTACTTCCCTAGAATGTAAGTCGGGAATATATTATCTTTTTCATGAACAACTCAACTGAATTTCATGAATTTCATGAACTGAATTTTGCTTACGAGTTTCCCAATATTTCATGTAGGATCATTGCATCTATATTTTTGAGTGAGATATCAGCCACATAAAGCAAATTCAGTAGGATTCTTTCTGTTTTACGCACTTTCTAAGGGATCTTACAACGTTAGAATAATCTGTTTATTCAGAGATGGCAAGAATTCATCAGTAACGATGTGTAAGCTTGTGGCTTATCAGTGAGGGGTAGATTTTTAACTATAGATTTAATTTTTTTAAGTGACTACAACAGCTTAGGCTTCCTCTTTATTAGAGGAGTTCTAATAAGCGTTAGACGTGTGTGAATTGCCCTGTTTTCAAGTGTGTTGGTATAAAATTGGTCATGGTATATTAATAATTCCGTCTCCACCTGTGTTATGTTTTCATTCCTTTAAAAAAAAAAAAAGTCTTACCTGACTGCCATCAATTTTGTTAGTCTAAGAACTGACTTTTGGTTTTGTTAATCCTCTCTAATTTTTTTTTTTTTAATTTTTTCTTCAGTGTTTATTTTTGAGAGACAGAGTGTGATCTGGGGAGGGGCAGAGAGCAAGGGAGACACAAAATTCAAAACTGGCTCCAGGCTCTGAGCTGTCAGGACAAAGCCCGACGCAGAGCTCAAACCCATGAACCGTGAGATCATGACCTGAACCAAAGTTGGAAGCTTAACTGACTGAGCCACCCAGGTGCCCCTATCCTCTCTACTTTTTGCCATGTGTGTACAACCCATTCTTCCTGTACCTAATAATTGATCCCACAGAACTTTTTATGTGTTGCAAACTCAGCAATACTTCACATTCCTTCTTTTTTAAATCTAGCGTTTTAGTTGTTCCCATTGAAAGATTCCCTCCATGTTTTATTCCATGGTAGTGCTAGAAAACCCACCTGAAAATCCTGTTAGGTGCCCACACACCAACAAAAACCAATCTGTCACAGAAGTAACTGGTTTTCAAAGGATTTTTAATATTCTCAAGGCTTCTTCCATGAGAGGGAGTGAGTCACCCGCCCTCAGTGACACAAAATGTGACCCAGTAGCTGGCTGTCGGCAGAAATGAAGTGGAGAGGTACTAGGCACTCAGTTGGGATTTCAGAACCCTGTTGTATTCAAGTCCCTGTTCTTCCTCTTGTTTGCTGTGTAATCTTGGACAAGACCCTTGTCCGCTCTCTTTTTTTTTTTTTTATTTGTTTCTAGGAGAGAGAGAGAGAGAGCGTGAGCAGGGGAGGGTCAGAGAGAGAGGGAGGTACAGACTCTGAAACAGGTTCCAGGCTCTGAGCTGGCAGTCAGCACAGAGACCGACACAGGGCTCGAACCCACGAACCGCGAGATCATGACCTGAGCGAAAGTCGGATGCTTAACCGACTAAGCCACCCAGGCGCCCTGACCCTTGTCTTCTCTTATCTTCTCTGTCTTCTCATCAGCTTCCTCATCTTTAACCTGCCCTGGCCGCCCTATACGTTTTGAGAAACTAGGCCCAAAAGAAAAAATAAAAGAGAGAGAGAGAAAAGGGATGTCGATTACTTTAACATTATTTAGGATTTATTGAGAATGATGGTACACTTTGTATAAGTCGGGGTTTACTGAAATTATAAGTTCCATTTTAGGCTAGGATAATGAGCACCTGTAAGAAGTTCTCAATATTGGCTCAAATTATAGTCAGCTGAGAAGCACCTTGTGGCTCAGTTGATTAAGCATCTGACTCTTGATTTCAGCTCAGGTCATGATCTCACAGTTTGTGAGTTTGAGCCCTGTGTAGGGCTCTGCGCTGAGAGCGCAGAGCCTGCTTGGGGTTCTCTGTCTCTCTGTCTCTGTCTCTGTCTCTCTGTCTCTCTCTCTCCACCTCTCCACCCTTTCCCCTCCCCCCCCACCACCCGCTTTCCTCCTTGCACTCACTGGTGCTCTATCTATCCCTCTGAAAATAAATAAGCTCTAAAAAAAGAATCGGTTGAGGAGTTATTTTTATTTATTTACTTTTAAGATGTTTATTTATTGAGAGAGAGAGAGAGAAAGAGAGAATGAGTGGGGGAGGGGCAGAGAAGGAGGAAGAGAGAATCCCTACGGGGAAGGGGGAGCTCAGTCTCACTCATGAGCTCATGATCTGAGCCAAAATCAAGAGTCGGACACTTAGCTGACTGAGCCATCCAGGCGCCCCCAGCTGAGGAATTTTTAAATATTCCTGATTCTGGGTCCCACTCCCAGATATCCTGGTTTAATCAGTCTGGTGGCGCCCAGGCACCAGTGTTTTTTAAAAGCTTCCAATAAGACTGTTAATGTTGCCAGTTACTGGTTTAAAAGCACATTTTGTGCTTTTAAATGCACCTTCCCGAAGAAGTGACCATGATTTGTTTTTCTTTTCGATCTTTACCCGAGTATTTTTTTTGGCACGTATAAAGTGGTCAGATTCCCAGTGACAATGAATAAACCTTCCTCACTTCAATGTTTGGTGTGATGCCCATTAACTGCCTTTTATTTAAAAGAAGATAAGAAAAACAAGCCCCCAGGTTTGTAAATACAATGGCAAGTTGCTCGTTTCCAAGCCACTTAACCCTTTTTAAATTCGCTCAAGTTTTTTCAGTGTATCTGGGTTTTTCAAATGTGCCCAGCCTGCTGGGCACAGTTTAGTACAAGGCATTTGCTCTAACCTAAGAATTCCCTGCTACTTTAACCATACCCTTTTGGACGTGTTTGGATTCAACGAAAGTGGGTAGAGGAGACGTCCGTGTCTCCCCGAGGGTAGCCGCGTGCACAGGGTTGGAGGTGGGTGTTGTGTGCAGGCCACAGAGGTGGTGGGAGAAGGGAGGTCCGTAAGCCCCTAATCAAACCAGCGCTGGAGTCCTATATGGCATATTTGCGTGCGTTTTCCATGAAGCTACAAGAAATTCAACCTACGCGGCTACTCTTTTTTTTGTTTTGTTTTGTTTTACAAATAGTTTATTGTCAAATTAGTTTCCACATAACACTCAGTGCTCATCCCCACAAGTGTCCTCCTCCATGCCCATCCCCCCCACCCCCCCCACATCCATCAGTCCTCAGTTTTTGTCAGCATTCAAGAGTCTCTCATGGTTTGCCTCTCTCCCTTTCCCCCACCATTCCCCCCCTTCTTCTCCCCCTTGTTCCTCAGTTAAGTTCCTCCTAATCCTCCTATACGTGCAAACATATGATATTTGTCCTTCTCTGCCTGACTTATTTCGCTCAGCATAACACCCTCAAGGTCCATCCATGTTGCTACACATGGCCAGATTTCATTGTTTCTCATTGCCATGTAGTATTCCATGGTATAGATAAACCACATCTTCTTGATCCATTCATCTGTTGATGGACACTTAGGCTCTTTCCATGTTTTAGCTATTGTGGAGAGTGCTGCTATGAACATTGGGGTCCATGTGCTCCTATGCATCAGCATTTCTGTATCCCTTGGGTAAATTCCTAGTAGTGCTATTGCTGGGTCATAGGGGAGTTCTATTGTTAGTTTCCTGAGGAACCTCCACACTGTTTTCCAGAGGGGCTGCACCAGTTTGCATTCCCACCAACAGTGTAGGAGGGTACCCCTACGCGGCTACTCTTAAATGCAAGTATCAGAAAAAGCGTTTCAATGGATTTTTTCTTAATATTTGCCTTTTCTTGTCTCAGGTAACTGCAGGTGTCCCGCTTAAGAAAGAATACACAGAGGAGGTAAGAGCAGGTGTTTTGAAGGCTTATGTGAAGATTCATTCAAACCCAGTACCCCAAGGGCAAGCAGTTGAGTCTCAACCAGTGAATGAGCCCCCTCCACCAGTGGCCTCTCGGAAAACTGCTTTTCCAATAATCGGGGAGAAAAATGGATGGGGACAAGAGATAAAATCCATTCAGTTCACTCTTCATTCTACGAAATGATGGATGGAGGCTTCATGTATGCCCTGTTCCCTACCCTCCGGGCAGCGGTCAAAACTGGAGCTCAGTCTCCAGCACAGAAACCAGTCCGAAACTCCTACCCCTGTATTCTTTTGGTGCGGAAAAAACTGACTTCTGGGACATGAACATTTGGTTTTATCACTTGCTTGAGTTACTTGACTCTCAGGTGAATTAGACTTTGATTTTTTTTAGCAGCAGTACCTCGTAGTTCCTACAGGGGGCACCAGGGATTTGTGGCCGGAACCGCCGGACTCCGCTCCTCACTCTCCGCGGGGCCTTGCTCCCTCTTGTCTACCACCCCACAGTCTGAGCCCACTGCTGATGCCCCGGCCACCAGCCAGCAGCAGGAATAGCCACCCGCCTCCAGACCCAAATATGCCATTGGACCCAGAATGAGTTCAGAAATTATTTTGGAAATGAGCCTCCCCTTTCCGTAGCCACCTTTTTCTTGGTGGTGAAATTGTTTTATGGTCTTAATAGCTTCTAGGACATTCAAGTGAGCAAGATGGAGGTGAAGGCTGCCAAAGTGGACTAGCCAGTTTAGTTTGGCAGCTTCGGTGGGAGGTGTACATGGGGGTCTGGTTTTCTTCCAGAACATCCAGCTGGTGGCAGACGGCTGCTGTAACCTTCAGAAGCAGATCCAGATCGCTCAGCTCTTTGGGGTTCCCGTTGTTGTGGCTCTGAATGTCTTCAAGTAAGTGCAGCCCCCCCCCCCCCTTAAATGTGCTCCTCTTACGGGCCACCCTGTGAACCCTGTTTGTGCTTAAGGGTGTTAGTGGTCTTTCTCCGCTTCGTCGAAAACTATATGGAAATACTCTGCTCCTTCTGTTTGGTTGGCTTGGTTTGGATTGGTTTCATTTTAACAGAAGTTTCTCAAATGTTTATAGGAAATGAAATCTATATAGTGAGTTAACATTTCCTTGGCTTTTTTTTTTTTTAAATTCCACCCAACATTTCTGTCTGAAAGACTGTGGATGATCAAAGCATTATGTTATGGAATTTTCTCAATAAAACCCTTAACAACTTGAAATATTTGAGTCCTTTTAGAGGTCCTTTTTTTCCCCCCAGACTTTCTTTAAGTCTGATTTATTTAAACACAATGTAACCACTTTTGATGTTTAAAATATATTCGGTGTTCGAGAGCAAAAGTTCTGTATAAACGGTTAGTCATTCTTGAAAAACATCCCTAAATGAACACAGATGCAAAACCACAAACGTTTTCATCACCAGGACCGACACCCGTGCGGAGATTGACTTGGTGTGTGAGCTGGCAAAGCGGGCCGGCGCCTTTGATGCGGTCCCCTGCTATCACTGGTCCGTCGGAGGGAAGGGGTCGGTGGACCTGGCTCGGGCTGTGAGAGAAGCTTCGAGCCAAGGAAGCCGTTTCCGCTTCCTCTATGACCTCCAGGTAAGCTCCCGTGTCCAGCACCTGCACTGTGCGTGGGGCCGGCTCGGAGGGTTTTGCCCCAGTTGGCCTGCTTCGGGGCCACGGCAATCCCCAGACACGGAAACGGCAGGTGAAAGAGGTGAAGCTGCCTGACCGTAGCCCTTGGCTGAGGGCAGACGAGCTTCTTGCTTCTGAGCTCTCAAGGCAATGCTGTGCTCACCGAGCAGGGCACAGCAATGGGGGGCTTTGGGGAACAGAGCTCGACAGCTAACACATTCAAAGCTTCCTCTCCTGAGCAACTTTTTTGTTGTTGTTGTTGTTGTTGTTGTTAATATTTATTTATTTTTGAGAGAGAGAGGCTTGGAAGAGGGACAGAGAGAGAGGGAAACACTGAATCCAAAGAAGGATCCAGGCTCTGAACTGTCAGCACAGAGCGTGATGCGGGGCTCAAACTCATAAGCTGTGAGATCATGACCTGAGCCAAAGTCAGACACTAACCGACTGAGCCACCCAGGCGCCCCTCTCCTGAGCAACTTCTTAAGGCTTGTGAAATTATGAGCAGTATTTTCCTCGTCCATTTCTGCCATCCCTCTCGTCCCTCGTTTTGGTTTTCTGGAACTGTGTGTATGCTGACAGGTTAAAATCTCTTTAGTCACTGGGGAACGCATATAGCATTTACTATCTCTTACCTCATTGGCGTGTACCGTCAGCGGTGTTGAGCACACACACACTGCTGTGCAGCCACCGTCCATCTTCAGAGCTCCTTGCAGAACGTAAACTCTGGACCCATTAAACCCCGGCTCCCTGTTCCCCGCCCCCTCTACCCCTGACCCCCTTCTCCTTTCTGCCTCGGAGTCTGGCTGGTCTGTGTATCTCTCATAGGAAACCATCCAAGTCTTGTCTTTTTCATGACGGGCTTATTCACTGTCTCGTTCTTTCAGGCTGGGGGAGGCCTGCCACAGCCTGGGTGGTTAATGAACAGCAGAAGTTTATCGCTGCGACGTCCATGATCAAGGCTTGGGTGGGTGGCCGGTGAGAGCCGGCTTTCTGTGTCAGATACGGCCGTCTTCTCACCGTATCCTCCTGTGCTGGAAGAGAAGTGGGATTTCTCTGGGGTCTCTTTTATCAGGGCTCCAGTCTCGTGACCTCATTACCCCAAAACCCTGCCTCCTAATTCCATCAGCATAGTCACCCTCAGGGTCTCCAAGTCCTAACACTTACCACCTTGGGAATTAAACTTCAACATACGAATTGGGGGCAGGGGGGATGCAAACATTTGGTTGGTATCATTTACTTAGAATAATGTCAGGACTCATCCATGTTCCCGCACATGTCAGGATTTCCTTCCTCCCGTGACACATTGCATATGCCACGTTTTGTCCATTCATTCATCTGCAGGTGGCCATTTTCACTAACGGCATTCCTTAGCCCTTATAAACCATGCTGCTATGAATATGTGTATAAAATATCTCTTTAATACTCTGCTTTCAATTCTTTGGGGTATGCACCCAGAAGTGGAGTTGGAGTGTCTGATAGAATTTTAGTAGGCAGCTGGATAATTAGCTTTCAGCCAGAGAATCTGCACTTCCCAGGACCTCACCCTTCCCAGTTCATCTTGGCACGCACCTGCACATCCCTGTCCTGGGCGCTGCGGCTCCGGCTGTAGGATCTGGCCTGGTGGTCAGCCCCAGACAGGACTGCCATAGCGCTCCGCCTGCCGCTCGATGCCTCTCCTCCATTCCTTCATCCCTCCCTCATTCCGTTGGTCCCTCGGGTGTCACAGACAGTAACCTCTCTCCTCTGTCCAGTTCAGACACAGCCCACAGCCTAAGTGAAGAGAGGGCATAGCAGCGCTGTCCCTAAGTCCAGAGTTAGGTCGTGCAAGGGCACGATGCTAACCTCGCTGCCAAGCTTCATGCTGGTAAGAAAAAGGAAGGCTTTTTCTCTGCCAGGCATCTGGGCCCCTCGTACCGGTCAACTGCTTTAGTCTCAACATCCCTGTTGCGTAGAAACAGGTGCTCTCCCCCTATTTTATACATACGGAAACTAAAGTACAAGGAGATGAATTAACCACCCAGTGTCCCCTGTCCTGAAAGAGGCAGAGCTGGGAGAGTATTGAGACTGATGGAGGTAATCGTCTCGCTCTGTCCTTTAGAACGCAGCGCTGTGTTCAAACATGGGGTGAGGGCAGGGGAACTACTCCTTAAAGGAGTGGCCCCCCTGCAGAGGAAGGACAGCAGTGACAGACACAGGACCCCTGAACATTGTGCACACTCCACAAACGTACGTGAACGGAAGGATTTCTGGAATGAATTGGGATGCTTCCCCCGCAGAAGGTGCGTCAGTTGAAAGGCCGTGCTGTGAATGAGAGCCAAGCGTGTTCTGGGTTACAGGGGTGGCCGGATCAGTAGACAGACGACAGCCGGGTTCCACATAAAGAAAACTGATCGAACTACAAGATGTGAGTTCTCTGACCCTGGAGATGTGAAGCATAAGCTAGAGGCGGCCCTGCAGTGGGCCTGCTAAGGGGGTTCAAGCCAACTCCATGGGGGCCGGCCCACGTGCCCTGAGCTCCTTCCCAGGCTCCGCTGCCCGGGTGAGCCCACCGGGCCATCTGCAGCGCCTCGCACAGTCCTGGGCCCTCTTACACAAACCATTGTTAGGGACTCCACTCTCCCTGGCCCACTCTTAAGAGCCTCAGACCACTGTCATCTGATCTGGGACATCCCCACTCTGAGTGTCAAAGGCACGTTTTGAAGGAATGATTCCACCTTTGATGTTTTCAAGGAAACCATCCCAAGTGAAAAGAAGGTGGGTAGAGAGAAGACATGTTTCTGAGCTACACTCTCTTGTATGAGCACTAACCCAAAGATGAACCTCTCTCCTTTCTGATATTTTCATTTTTTTTCTGAATTCCCATTCTTCATGGAGATAATGCTGTTAAAATGTCTGCCTCCCTGTAAATAGGGGAAAAATTTACAGTAACATGGCCTAAAGTCCTGCGTTTGATAGGATTCTTACCTCCCTTGCCAACATACTCTTCTTCCTTTCCTTAGAACCCAGAAATTAGATTTGGATTGCGTAATTATTTATTAGATAACCAGCATCTCCGTGGATTGCTCAACGACGTCAAGAGTGATTGCTGTTTCTGGCTCACTGTACTTCCTCCCTAAAAGCCCTGTTCCCCTCACTGGCAAGTTGATTCTAGATAATTGAAGACCATTTATGGTCTTGTCTAGAAATCGGAATTCCTTGGTTCAGTCGTTAACACAGCTCAAACTTTTCTCACCCCCTCTTCAATTCTCATGTATCATGCTGGTGAACCTTCACAGACTAAGTCATGGTTCTCTTGAAACTCTTCATTCTCTTTCTCCCCCAATGACTAACCTATTAGTGTTTGGCAGCTTAATAGGTGTGGGATGGCCCCACAGGAAAAAAGAAGTGATGAAACCCTTTTGGATACATCACCCTCCTACTGCCTTTGCTTCTCAGCACAAACCGGGCTTCTGTGTGCCTTTTGCCATCCACCAAGAACGCATTCCGAGCAGGGTTGATGGCATCTTATCTCCCGCTCCACCTCCACCCCGTCTAGTGTGACAGAAGAAAGTCACCTGCGATCGTCTGAGAGCGTCTGACATAGTGTAGGGAGCACTGGATGCGATTGCTCCTATGTGGGGAGTAAGAATCATCTCAAAACCCCAGTGGAAGAAGGAACAGCTAGAGAGAAGTAGAAAGACGACCTCAGAGATACTGTGGGGCTGGACAGCTCACGTGGTAAGAGGCATCATGATGACGCGCCTGTTGAAGTTACAGCAGGAAACAGGCTGCATTTCAGGCATGGGGTCTTTGCTGAACTTGATAGAAAAGGGAGTTGAGCAGGCATTGTTCTTTAGAGAACAGTTCTCCACCTCTTTCACCAGAGAAGCTTCTTTTTAAAAAGATTTTATTTTTCAATCATCTCCACACCCACCGTGGAGTTCTAACTCACAACCCTGAAATCAAGAGTCACACGCTCTCCCATCTCAGCCAGCCAGGCGCCCCCAGAGTAGCTTTTAATTCATGAGTAGACAACTTTTCTTTAAATTAGGCAAATTTTTATTATGGTCCTGGGGGATAGCTTATTGATTAATTCAGAATAATAACTTTTTAAGCTAGGGAGTAAGAGGTGCCTGCATGGCTCAGTCAGTTAAGCATCTGGCTTCGGCTCAGGTCATGATCTCACAGTTAGTTCAAGCCCCATGTCGGGCTCTGTGCTGACAGCTCAGAGCCTGGAGCCTGCTTCGGATTCTATGTCTCCCTCCCTCTCTGTCCTCTCTCCCACTTGCACTCAGTCTCTCACTCTCTGAAAAATAAACATTTAAAAAAAAATTTTTTTTAATAAAATAGAGAATAAAATGCAGTGGCCCAGTTGCTCAAAGGAAGTTTATCATGTGAGAATAAATGTGTTTAAACTTGAGTTCACAGTTTCCTCACATCCCTTTTGGACAATCACAGTGCATGTTATGTCCCCCTAGAAGTCATCTTGTCTGTAACTGTCCCTTTTGTTTCATGACTTTTTACAGTTATATCTTTACAGTTGACCAATTATGATATCTCCATATCTGCAGGCATATGGGAGAATAGTATAGCAGAAAGAAAAATGAGTCTGTATTTATAGTTTGTTAGCTATCAGATCCCTATTCCATACATCATTCAAGCACATCTCAGCCAGCGCTGTGGAGTGTGTGGGACCAACTTTGCATTTTAAATGTTTATTTGTTTTGTTTATTTGTTTTGAGAAAGAGAGAGAGGAGAACGAGTGGGGGAGGGACAGCAAGCTGACAGCTGTCAGCACAGAGCCCAATGCAAGGCTTGAACTCATGAACCGTGAGATCCTGACCTGAGCCAAAATCAAGAGTCAGAAGCTTAACCGAATGAGCCACCCAGGCACCCCTCCACTCTGCCTTTTAAATGCAGAAGCAGAAGCTCAGAGAAGCTGAGGGACTTGCCTCCTAACAAACAGGCACTGACAGAAGGAGAAA